ACGGCCACACCCCCCACCAGGCTGAGCGGGGGGGGGTGGGGGTGGGGGCCCTGACCGGAGGCCAGCCCCCTAGCTAAGCCGAGGGCGCTCACATGACCCCGGAGGCCCGGGGACCCTTTATTCCCGCGAGGTCACGCTGGGCCCCCCGTGTCCCGGAGCTTCAGCCTCTGCAGGGGGTCAAGTCAGCACCCCTTTGTTCAGGACACTCGGCCACCGTGGAGTGTCCCTCAGGCCCCAGGGAGCACCCCCAAACCCCAGCCACCACTGGGGCCTCCCGGGGCGGGTCCCCTCTCCTTGGCTCCATTTCCGCATTTGCCAGAGCGGTCAGGAGTGGGGTGCCCACAGAGGGCCAGGGGCCGCACAGCGGGCACCAGCTGGGGCGCCCTCCCGGGAACTGGGGGGCTTTGGTCCTGTCTGTGCCGGGGCCCTGGGGCTGCCCCTCGGCTGCGATTTCTGTCCTCAGACTTGATTGCCCCCCCAACCCCCCAGCCCGTCCCCTCGTGCCCAGAGCCCCCGGGCTGCTGTGGGACTCACCTGGAGAAGGGGGCTCCGTCATGCCCCAGACGCTGGAGGCTGCTCTCCTGGGTGATGGGGGCCCCCCAGGCCTCCCCCGCGCTGGGCTCTGCGGGGCAGACAGTGTGGGTGAGCGACAGCCTTGGTCACCCTGAAGGGGGACAGGGGTCAGCTCAGAAGCCACTGGGACCCCCGCGCCCCCCCCCCATGGTGGCCCACACTGAATGGGACTCCCAGGTCTGCGGGTCAGTCCCATAAGCAGTGACCCTGGAGGCCGGTGGGGTTTCCCGTCCGTGGCATGGCCTGTTGGCTCCTGCCCTGGGTCCCCGATGGAAGCGGGGTGCGCAGGCAGCCCAGCGTTTCCCGGCAAAGCCCGGGTGTGGAGAGGGTCCAGCACCCCCCAGGGAGGGAGGGGCGTCCTGCAGGGCCAGCAGCTCCCGGACGCCTGGCTCGGGCCTCCTTTGGGAGGGGACCCAGATCGCTGGACAGGAGTCCCCAGAAAGCGGCCGCTTCGTCCTGCCCCTCAGGGGCTACCGCCTTGGACCGGGGGGCCCAGGACCCCTGGCAGCCAGTCGGAGGGACAGCGGCCGCTGCGAGTCCTCCTCTGGGCCCTAGGTCTCCTGGCCCCAAATCCAATCAGGGGAGCCCTCGTCCAGCCGCAGGCAGGAAAGAGTTAAGAGCTCGACCCAGGCGGCCCTGTCCCCTGCCCCCATCCTGTCCCTGAAGCTGCGGTCACTTGACCCTTTGACTCCTGCCTGAGCAGAAGGGCCGCCTGGGGAGCTGGGTCAGCTTGTCCGCTCTCGGCCTCACTCCCGCTTCCCCATCTGAGACATGGGCGGCCCTCAGCCGGTCAGACTGCTGGTGGGGACGCCAGGCTGCCGGCGGCCAGCGGCCAGGGCTCAGCTCGGGGCTCTGGGTGGGACTTGAGCCCTCTGGGTGGGGCCGGGAGGGGGAAGCCAGGGCCTCCCCTACGGTCCCAGGTGGGCAGGCAGCGCGCCCGCACCCCAGACACCAGGCCAACCCTCTGCCTGCGGACCCCGAGGCCAGGCCAGCGGGCTCCGTGCCCCCAGCG